AGCCAAGAATTCTTTATCCAGCAAGGCTGTCATTCAAAATAGGAGAGATAAACAGTTTCCCAGACAAAAATTAAATAAGTTTGTGACCACTAAACCAGCCCTGCAAGAAATTTTAAAGGGGACTCTATGAGGGGGAAAAAGATGAAAATTAAAAAAAAAATTAAAAACAAATAAATAAATACCAAAAGCAACAAAGATTAGAAAGGACAAGAGAAGGCCACCAGAAACTCCAACTCTACAAGCAACATAATGGCAATAAATTCTTACCTTTTAGTACTCACTCTAAATGTCAATGGACTCAATGCTCCAGTCAAAAGACATAGGGTAACAGAATGGATGAGAAAACAAGATCCATCTATATGCTATTTACAAGAGACCCACTTTAGACCTAAAGACACCTTCAGTCTGAAAGGGGATGTAGAACCATCTATCATGCGAATGGTCAACAAAAGAAAGCCAGAGTAGCCATGCTTATATAAGACAATCTAGTCTTTAAGATATTAAAGACTGTATCAAGAGATGCAGAAGGGCATTATATCATAATCAAGGGGTCTACAGACTAAGAGGACCTAACAATTATAAACATTTATGTGCCAAATGTGGCAGCACCCAAATATATAAATCAATTAATCACAAACATAAAGAAACTAATTGATAGTAACACCATAATAGTAGGAGACTTCAACACCCCACTCACAACAATGGACAAATCACCTAATCAAACAATCAACAAGGAAACAATGGCTTTAAATGACACACTGGACCAGATGGACTTAACAGATATATTCAGAACATTTCATCATAAAGCAGCAGAATATACTTTCTTCTCCAGCGCACATGGAATGTTCTCCAGAATAGACCATATACTGGGACACAAATCAGCCCTAAGTACATACAAAATGATTGAGATCATACCGTACATATTTTCAGACAACAACGCTTTGAAACTCGAAATCAACCACAAGAAAAAATTTGGAAAGTTAACAAATACTTGGACACTGAAGAACATCCTACTAAAGAATGAATAGGCTAACCAAGCAGTTAAAGACGAAATTAAAAAGTATATGGAAGTCAATGAAAATGATAACACCACAACCCAAAACCTCTGGGATGCAGCAAAGGTGGTCCTAAGAGGAAAGTATATAGCAATCCAGGCCTTCCTAAAGAAGGAAGAAAGATCTCAGATACACAACCTAACCTTACACCTTAAAGAGTTGGAAAAAGAACAGCAATTAAAACCCAAAACTAGCAGAAGACAGGAAATAATGAAGATTAGAGCAGAAATTAATGCTATCGAAACCAAAAAAACAGTAGAACAGATCAATGAAACCAGAATCTGGTTCTTTGAAAGAATTAACAAAATTGATAAACCACTAGCCAGTTTGATCAAAAAGAAAAAGGAAAGCACCCAAATAAATAAAATCAAGAATGAAAGAGGAGAGATCATAACCAACACAGCAGAAATAAAAACAATAATAAGAGAATATTGGGGCGCGTGGGTGGCTCAGTCAGTTGAGCGTTCGACTTCGGCTCAGGTCATGATCTCACAGCTTATGAGTTCGAGCCCTGCATCAGGCTCTGTGCTGACAGCTTGGAGCCTGCAGCCTGCTTCAGATTCTGTGCCTCCCTCTCTCTCTGCCCCAAGCCACTCGCATTCTGTCTCTGTCTCTCTCAAAAATAAATAAACATAAAAAAAAAGTTTAAATAAAGAGAGTATTATGAACAATTACACACCAATAAAATGGGAAATCTGGAAGAAATGGACAAATTCCTACAAACATATACACTACCAAAACTGAAACAGGAAAAATAGAAAATTTGAACAGACACATAACCAGTAAAGAAACTGAATTAGTAATCAAAATCTCCCAGAAAACAAGAGTCCAGGGTCACATGGCTTTCCAGGGGAATTCTACATTTAAGGAAGAGTTAACATCTATTCTCTTGAAGCTATTCCAAAAAATAGAAACAGAAGGAAAACTTCCACACTCATTCTATGAAGCCAGCATTACCTTGATTCTAAAACCAGACAGAGACCCCACTAAAAAGGAGAACTATAGACCAATTTCCCTGATGAACATGGATGCAAAAATCCTCAACAAGATACTATCCAACCAGATCCAACAATACATTAAAAAAATTATTCACCACGACCAAGTGGGATTTATACTGGGGAGGCAGGGCTGGTTCAATATTTGCACAACAATTAACGTCATTCATCACATCAATAAAAGAAACAACAAGAACCATCTGATCCTCTCAATAGATGCAGAGAAAGCATTTGACAAAATACAGCATCCTTTCTTAATAAAAACTCTCAAGAAAGTAGGGATAGAAGGAGCATACCTCGAGATCATAAAAGCCATATATGAACGATCCAATGCTAATATCATCCTCAATGGGGAAAAACTGAGAGCTTTCCCCCTAAGGTCAGGAACAAGACAGGAATGTCTACTCTCACCACTGTTATTCAACATAGTATTGGAAGTCTTAGCCTCAGCAATCAGACAACACAAATAAATGGCATTCAAATCATCCAGAAGGAGGTCAAACTTTCACTCTTTGTAGATGACATGATACTCTATATGGAAAACCCTAAAGATTCCACCAAAAAACTGCTAGAACTGATTCATGAATTCAGCAAAGTTGCAGGATATAAAATCAATGCACAGAAATCGGTTGCATTCCTATACACCAACAATGAAGCAACAGAAAGAGAAATCAAGGAATCGATCCCATTTATAGTTGCACCAAAAAGCACAAAGTATCTAGGAACAAATCTAACCAAAGAGGTGAAAAATCTATACACTGAAAACTACAGAAAGCTTATGAAAGAAATTGAAGAAGACACAAAAATGGAAAAAGATTCCATACTCCTGGATAGGAAGAACAAATATTGTTAAAATGCCGATACTACCCAAAACAATCTACATATTCAATGCAATCCCTATCAAAATAACGCCAGCATTCTTCACAGAGCTAGAACAAATGATCCTAACATTTGTATGGAACCAGAAAAGACCCCAAATAGCCAAAGCAATCTTGAAAAAGAAAACCAAAGCTGGAGGCATCACAATCCCAGACTTCAAGCTATACTACAAAGCTGTAATCATCAAGACAGTATGGTACTGGCACAAGAACAGACCAATGGAACAGAATAGAGAAGCTAGAAATGGACCCACAAATGTATGGCCAACTAATCTTTGACAAAGCAGGAAAGAATATCCAATGGAATAAAGACAGTCTCTTCAGCAAGTGGTGCTGGGAAAACTGGACAGAGACATGCAGAAGAATGAACCTGGACCACTTTCTTACACCATACACAAAAATAAACTCAAAATGGATGAAAGAACTAAGTGTAAGCCAGGAAGCCATCAAAATCCTCGAGGAGAAAGCAGGCAAAAACTTCTTTGATCTTGGCTGCAGCAACTTCTTACTCAACACATCTCCTGAGGCAAGGGAAATAAAAGCAAAATGAACTACTGGGACCTCATCAAAAAACAAAACAAAACAAAAAAAACACAAAAAACGTTCTGCGCAGCAAAGGAAACAATCAGCAAAACTAAAAGGCAACCGACAGAATGGGAGAAGATATTTGCAAATGATATATGAGATAAAGGGTTAGTATCCAAAATCTATAAAGAACTTATCAAACTCAACACCCAAAAAACAAATAATCCAGTGAAGAAATGGGCAAAAGACATGAACAGACACTTCTCCAAGGAAGACATCCAGATAGCCAAACAACACATGAAAAAATGCTCAACATCACTCATCATCAGGGAAATACAAATCAAAACCACAATGAGATACCACCTTACCCCTGTCAGAATGGCTAACATTAACAACTCAGGCAACAACAGATTCTGGCAAGGATGCTGAGAAAGAGGATCTCTTTTTCATTGTTGGTCGGAACACAGCCACTCTGGAAAACAGTATGGAGTTTCCTCAAAAAACTAAAAATAGAACTACCTTACAACCCAGCAATTGCACTACTAGGCATTTATCCACAGGATACAGGTGTGCTGTTTTGAAGGGATACATGTACCCCCCATGTTTATAGCAGCACTGTCAACAATAGCCAAATTATGGAAAAAGCCCAAATGTCCATCGATGGATGAATGGATAAAGAACATGTGGTATATATATGTATACACACACACACACACACACACACACACACAATGGAGGATTACTTGGCAATCAAAAAGAATGAAATCTTGCCATTTGCAACTACGTGGATGGAACTGGAGAGTATTATGCTAAGTGAAATTAGTCAGTCAAAGACAAATATCCTATGACTTCACTCATATGAGGACTTTAAGAGACAAAACAGATGAACATAAGGGAAGGGAAACAAAAATAATATAAAACAGGGAGGGGGACAAAGCATAATAGACTCATAAATAAGAACAAACTGAGGGTTGCTGGAGGGGGTGTGGGGCGGGGATGGGCTAAATGGGTAAAAGACATTAAGGAATCTACTCCTGAAATCATTGTTGCACTATATGCTAACTAACTTGGATGTAAATTAAAAAAATAGAATTGAAAAAAAAAACAAAAGAAAGGGAACAATGATGAGGGGTCAGGTGGCAATAATAATAGGGGGTGTCTGCCCGGTGAACCTATGGGCCTCATCAGGGATCTGTCCACTGGCGGAATGACAGTCTTCCCGGCCTTAAGGAAGAAGAGAGGCTTCAGCATGGACAGGGAAGCATTTGGACATCATGGACTATACAATAATTTCTTTGAATCTTGACTATGTTGGGGGATGAGGACACGTTCTCTGAGGCTGGCCCTCCTCCAAACTACCAGCTCCTGTTTATGTTCCCCCACCACAACATGGCTCAGAAGAGACTCAGAAATATTTGGTGTGCTATGAGGAACCTCTGTTTCTGGAATGAGGCTCTTTTATTTAGTTGCCCAATGCTGAGAACATTTTTCCTTTGATAAAAGCAGCAACGAGGAAAAGTCAGCTTATTCATTAATCGCTCTCTTACCTATTAAGTGTCTCAGCTTATGCAATACCTTCTCATGCCCTACACAGCAACCACATAAGAAGGCAATAAACACTTCTTCTGAACTCATAAAAAAAAAGAGAAAGAAAGAAAAGAATAAATTCCAAAAGAAAAAAATAGTGACTGTTTTCATTTGAAGACAGCCCAAATAACTACTTTCAATCATAAAATACATTTAAATAGACACTTCTCAAATTTCTGGTATGAGAGCTTTCATTTCCTTTTTACAGAATTGAAGAAATATGCTTAAGATAGGTGGTTTCTCTGAAAGAGAAAATTAAAAATCCTGATTCTCAGATCTGAAAAATACGAATCTCTCAAATGTAGTCATTCATTAATTTACTCACTCAGCACTTACTGAATGCCTTCTATGTACCAGGTGCAGTACTGTCTCTCTGAGGTTGGGGCAAAAGTCATTTAGTCCTTATCTTCAAGAACTGAGAATCCTCAAAAGAGACAAATTAAATAGAAAATGATAATAAAATCTGATAAAAGATATAAAAGAAATTAGGAAAGGGATTAAGCTCAGATTGCAGAGAATAATATAACCCAGGAAAGAAAATAGCAGAGTATAAAAACAGGGACCTGTGAGGGGCCAGGGCAATCAGGAAAACTCAAAAGACTCAGTTTGGCTGGACTGAAGGTGAGGGCATGCACATACCCACATATACTGACTATTGTATGCGCTCACTATATACTTGTAACCTAATCAAGGTAACAGAGTACGGAATACAAAAATAGAAGAAAAGAACAACTTACCATGCTTTCCCCTAGAAATATCCACATACTGGCAAAGTCTGGGATGAGTGATGGTCTTAAGGATTTGAAATCGCCCCAAAATTTTGATGGAATTTGGTGTAAGAGGAAGCCCATTACTTCCACAAACATCATGTGGCAGAGCTGAGGCAAAGAAGGTAAAGGCACCCATTTCAGCATCCTTCAGGGGAAACATTTCAGAAGCCTAGATCTTCTAAGATAATCTGGAAAAGGAGAGAATTTTATGACAGATCAACCAAAAATTAAGCCAGTGTTTTCTCACCTTAAATATGATCAATAATATATAACTTGGAGGAAAATGCCAATCAGAACACTTCACAGTAAAAAGAATCAAAGTAAAAAAATTCCAAGATAATATCTACGAGGAAAAACCACCCAATCATAAATTTAGATTGTAGCTCTAAATCATAATCAAAGATTTTCAATGGCATAAAAAGGCAAAAAATAGAACATTCCCTCCTCATGATGTCTGACAGTGTTAAGAGGAAGTCTGTTATTGCATATTCACATTAATAAGGATCTTCTGTTTACCTAAAGCTTGAACAACCCATAGACCATCAAGAATTTTTCCTTCTTGCAAAGTAAAGTCAGAAAAGATGAAATAGGTATTCCAACCATTACCTTTAAATTATCAAGGCCTCTATTAATAGTAAAAATTAAACTAGATAACAGAAGCCTCTACGTTACTTAACTAATAAGTTTTGGTTTTGTGCTTGGTAATTTCCATGTGATCTGTTTTAATTTATTCCCTCAACAATCTTCACAGATGTTATTGCCTCCAGTTTAAAGATAGATGTTTCGTGTATATATCTAGGGCAATCCTATTGGCATGGTCTCCAAAACAAATAGTGCCCCAGAGTTATGTAACAAAGCAACCTGGAAATTAAGAAACCTGCTCAAAATCAATCTGAATCACATTAGGGCAATCACAATGAAAAAGGTCACTGAACAAAAAGATCTTTCACCCAGGTGTCTCACTACAAAGACATTCCATTGGTCCAGCACTGCATTCTTCCTTTCTCAGCTTCCACAATCAAAATGTTGGAATTCTAAATCAAAGTAATAGACCACTTTTTATGTCTGTGCAGAAACCTCATTAAAAACATTAAAAGGAAATACTTTTAAATGTATAAATTCATAATAAGGAAGAAAACAGAAAAGGGCCATGACCTAATGAAAGATTCCAAAAACCCCCAGTAAAGCATTTGGCATATGAAGTATTGTTTTAAGAAGAAAAAGAAAGAAACTATAAAGTATATTGCAGTCAAGACCTCTGTTGGGCCTCTTCAGATTCAGAAACTTGAGATCACAAAAGCAGAAACAATGGGGAACAGAAGTCAGAAGAGGATTTGAAATGAGAATGATAACTTAAAGGGCTGAAGAATAAAAGAATTAACTTTGTCACTGGCCCCCCATTACTAGTTAGTTATTTATTCTCAAAGGAAAAGAGGTAAGTTTCTTTCCTAGAAATAAACCAACTTTGTGAGAATTATAATAAATAGCTAGTATGGGCATGGTGACAAAGGCAAACTGCTCTTAATTCTGGAATTTGTAGGGCCCCAGTTAAGATATAACTATCTACCCAGCCATCCTAAAACACAGAATAGCAGTCAACAAGCCTGTCCATATACACAAAGCTCTCAGACAGACTTCCTTAACTCTAAAATAATGAACTGTCCAGGAATCATCAGATAGTTGAAGAAAGACCACATCATAATGGGCAAAAAATAAAATAAACAAACAAAAAAACCTGCCCTGGAGGTGACTAAATAAGTTATGGAAAAGAAAACAATGAAAACCAAAACAAGTTGAAATATATTTAGAAAGATTTGACATGATATTACATAAAAAGAGGTGTAGCAAAACATATTTCACAAAAGAGTAAAAAGGAGTTGCTGGTACATATATGAGAAAATGAACATCCTCATTAATATTCAAGAAACTGATCATTAAAACTATAGGAGAATTTATACCCGCCAGAGAGTAATAGTTAAATCTGATTAATTAAATTTGATAATACAAAATGTTATGATATGAAGAGAATATAAACTAAAACAATCACTCTGGAAAACAGTTTGACACTATTTTGCTATTCAATTCCGGCAGAAAATCCTACACACATAAATAAGGGATACATGCAAGAAAAATCAGCATGGTGTTGTTCCTATTAATCCCCAAACTGGAAACTTAAATATCCAAAGACAGGTGAATGATTAAGTAAACTGTACGTTCATCTGATGGAAGAGTATACATGACAGAAAATAAGCAAATTGTAGCAACATATATCAGCATAGATAAATCTAAATATAATGTTGGGTGGGGAAAAAAAGCACATAAAATGTATGCCAATATACATAATATTCAACAAGAAAAGCTGAATAATAAATAATTCAGGAGTATGTACATTTGAGGTAATATTATATTAAAAAGTAAGGTAGGGGCAACTGGGTGGCTCAGTCGGTTGAGCGTCCGACTTCAGCTCACGTCACGATCTCACGGTCCGTGAGTTTGAGCCCCGCATCAGACTCTGTGCTGCCAGTTCAGAGCATGGAGCCTGCTTGATTCTGTGTCTCCCTCTCTCTCTGCCCCTCCCCCACTCACGCTCTGTCTCTCTCTACAAAAAATGAATAAACCTTAAAAAAAATTTTTAAAGAGGTGATAATAATAATAATGAGGAAGAAGGGGAGGAGGATGGAAGGAAGGAGAAGAAAAACATGAGGATACAGTTACCACTGTATGAAAAGCAGAGTGAGATTAGGGAAGAACCCATAAGAAGCTTCAACAATCTTGAGTAATATCTTAGTTTTTAATTGGTGGATTTAATGGGTGTTCATATTATTATTATGCTCCAAATTTCCATATTCTATATCTACATATGTTTGTGTTAGAGATCACATACTTTATATTTTTTAAATTTTAAGTTGAAAAAAATTTAAAAATACAATGAATTGATTTCCAACAAAGGCCAAGAAAATCAATAGGGAAAGCGCAGTCTTTCAGCAAATGGTGCTGGAACAACAATATATCCATATGGAAAAGAAAGAAAATAATCCCTCAATTCCTACTGTTACATCCACAAATATCTGAGATGGATTATAGACCTAAATGCAACCTTAGGATAGCAAAGATTTCTTAGGCAGGATAACAAAAAGCACTAACCATAGAAGAAAAAATTGATAAAATGAACTTTTCTGGAGTTTTGGATGTTCCGCATCTTGATTGGGGTGGTGTTTGTCACATGGATGTTTACATGTATCAAAACTCATCAAACTACTCACTTAAAATCAGTGCATTTTAAGATATGTAAATTGTATCTTATAAAAAATAAAATTAAGAGAATATGAGGAAGGAATAATTAAAAATGAGTGGTTGGAAATTAAATTATTACCAAGTTAGACTGAAGTGTTGGAAAAGAAAGTTGAGACAACTCCTCAGAGTATGGAAAAAAAGCAAATAGATGAAAACATAAGAGAAAAGATAATAGATATAGTAAATCAAACCAAGTATACAAAAACCACCTTATAACAGTTTCAAAAAGAGAAAGAGGAAAATAAAGGAGAATAAATTATAGAAGACAGAATAGGAGAAAAATTCCCCACAGTTGAAGGGAAATTGTACCTTCAAATTAGAAAGGCTTATAATATCGAGGAAGGTAAATGAAAAATACCCACACTATGACATTTTTCCTAGCTCCTTTCAATGAGTTCACGTCAAGAATAAACTCACAAGACATGTCATCATACATTTTCAAAGCATCAAGGAAAACTAAAATTTTTCAGTCATTCCAGAGAGAAAACAAATAGTTCAGGCCTCAACAAATTAAGAGTGGCATTCTCATTGTCTTATGAGCAATAGTGAAAGTTAGAGGACAGTGAAGCTTTGAAAGACTTAAAGAGACAAAATTTTGCTTCTATACCCTGCCAAACTATCCATCATTATAGCAAAAATAAATAATAATAATTTACAGCCATATGAACATTAAAAAATAAAATTAACATCCACATACCTTTTATGAATAAATATTCTTAGGATGTATTCTACCAAAACAGAGGAGAAAAACAAATAACAGAAAATGTGTGGTTAAGAAACAATGTAACTTACCAGAGTGTAATCTGTTCACATTAAACAGAAAGTAATTGGGCTTTAAGGGAACATCTTCAAGCAAAGATATGGAATGGAAGCTTCTCATACAAAGAATGAGAGGACGTGGTAAAGAAAGCGTAAGATGGAAGGATTTGGTGAAAAAAAAAAACCCAATGTAACTAACTTTCCCTCAAAAGAAAACAGAAAGTCCTTTGTAAAAGTGAGGAGGGTTAAAAACTATATAAGATGTACATGGCCCAAAACATAAATCACACTTAACTATGGCATAATTTTTTAGTCATTATAGGGGAAGAAAGAAGAAATCAATCTGATGTTAATATTACAAGTCTTCTCCTTAGTGTGGTACAGGGGTCATGAAATTAAGAAACTGGGAAGGAAATGTATCATAGCATACTTTTTGACTCTGTACTTAGGAATATTTACAAAGCCATAATATTGTAACATTTTGTTATTTTTTAGCACACATAAAAAAGCAAAAAAAAATTGTAGTTAAGAAATGTAATATAAATATTAACCTTAACAATGTATAAATAAAAGTCCAGATAGGGGATGGTGGAAGTGATATAGTTTTTGCAGTGGTAATGAAGGTAGAGGCATTACTTTTCTCATTTTACCAAACAAGGAGCCAAAATATATTTTTGAAAATTGTGAAAAAATAATTTACATATATTATTTAGAATTATAACATTAACCAATATGAAAACTAAAAAATGTAATGACTATTCAAAACTTTGGATAAGGGAGGTTATGGATAGTTTGTCTTAAAAAGTAAAAAAAAAAAAAAAGAAAGAAAGAAATCAAGAAAGAAAAGAAAAAAGAGTGAGCATTTTCTTTTACTATTCAACATATAGATCTAAGGTTTAACAAGGTTAAAAGGGGTTATTTCTGAGGAATAGGACTAAGGGTAGGAAGGAAGACACTAAACTATTGCATTTTATTATGCAATCCTTCTATATCATACTATTTGATTTTCAATTAGACAGACTATCAGACAACTGAAAAGCAAAGAACCAAAGAAACGCAAATGATTCAAAAAGATAAGACACGAGTTAGTGTAAAATATTTCATCAATGTTCTCCTTCAACTACCAAGCACTCATGTAGATGAGTGCACATAAAAAGGTTCACATATAAAAAAATATACACATAGATTTGTTCACACTTGGTGAGTGGAAGAAAGCTAGTGAAAAAAAAACAGTTGAAGTTGAGAGAGAGATTAGTTGAGGAAATACAACGTAGGAATGGGGTTTGAAAATTCATTCATTCAACCAATATCTTGAACCTATTTTAACTCAGGTGTTTTTCCAGCTTCAGGGCCAACGACAGTGAACGAGACACAATCCCCACCCACAAAGAACTTGGGAGTCGAAATTAGATTGGAGGTCGGGGGGCGAAGGTCAAAAAAATAGTACAAAAGATACCGATTTCATCATGAATAAAATAATTCACACATTTCTTCAACGGGCGAATAACACTAGCTCATTTATTTTATATACTTTCCCTCAAAAAGTTGTCTTTCTGTCCCAAACAAAAACAGGAACCAAGGGGCCTTGAAAAGAAACCACTGGCAATTCTAAAGGAACTTCCAGTTGTTCACATTCCCCCATTCCACAAGGGAACGTTATGTCTCGACAAATGACTAAACCTTTGAAAAACAAAAACAAAACCAAGACTTTGCATCTATGGTGAGTAATGGAGAACTGAATCTACATTCTCCAACGCCTCTTTAAATCTTCCTTCGAAGCAGTGATGCAGTGGTTACTCTTAAACATCTGCCTACAGTTCTCAAAGGACTCGGGTAAACGTGTGTAGGAAGGAAGGCGGACATTAGCTCCATTTGGGCACAGGACTCAGTAGCAAGCAGCTCCAAAGGTTGGCTCCTCTACTGCGGACAAACTGGGCCACTCGCTGCACCTGACATTCCTCTACCTCCCACCGGCCCCACCCACTACGACACACAAAACTGACGAACCCAAATACCTGCCTCTGAGTCAGGCGGGCACAGAGACAAGGGGATGGAGCTTCTACACAGGGCCCCAGCTTGCTGTGGCTGCTGCTGCCGCTACCGTTTAGTGCACCACACCCAGCATCTCAGGTGCTTCTACAAAAGAGGCCGCTCCGGGAGCGCTGGGATTGCGTTTTGCCTGCGAGCTAAATCCGCCGAAATTCCCGGCTCGGAATCTGCGGGGAGCGCGAGCCAGACCCGCTCCAATGACAGCTCCCAGCTCTCCCCACCCCCGCCCTCGATTCAGCCCGGCCGTTTCCTCTGACCTCACAACCTCCACGACACAACATGGAGGAAAGACCCGACGTCCGGCGTTTTGCCCCTTACCCAACCGGCGACAAAATGTAGCTACCAAGGAAGAGGTGCAGAGGAGTTCAAGTTATTAGCTGAGGAAATAGAAGACGGACAGCGTGGTGCGGTTACGCCCGGGAAGGGGGCGACAGAATTTGACGTTAAATCGGTGGAACGCTCAGGCGTTTGGTGAGGACACCTCGTTGGGTCCTTTCTCACTGCCGTCGGGTGCGGGACGGTGCCCCTAATTGCTGAAGACTGAGGCTACCCGGTGAAGCTCTCCAGGTTGCTCTGTCCACCGATTGATGTGAGTGACTCCCTGAGAGGGTCCGGGGGTAGGCGTGTTGAGATCAAAGGAGAGTCCTCCTTCCCTTACTCATCTTGGGGAGATAGGACCTAGCCTCCGAATACCGGTGGGAAGTACGCTTATACCAGCACCAGTCTTGGCATGTGGAAGTACCACAGCCAAGAGGGAACAGCTTGGTACCTCTTGAAGGAACCAAGTTTGAGAAACGGGATGCGGGGCTGACGGAAAGGCTGCTACTGGAAAAGATATATTCACAAACACGTTTAGTTACATGTGTGCGCGCGCGCCGGTGTATGTGAAAGGGGTGGGGGTGGGTCAGGAAGTCATTCAGTTAGTTACGCGCCCACTATGTTTCTGGTACTGTTTTAGGCATTGGGAACAGAACGATGGACAAAACAGAAACCCCTATCTTCCTGTAGTTCGCATTTTATTGGGGAAGACATCCTAAACAGAATTAAGAAAAACATGTTCTATTGCAGGTCGTAATGGGCGCTTAAGGGATAAGTAATAAAGCAGAGGAGGATGTAGTTTGAAATATTAGTGTGGCCGGGGAAAGTCTCACTGAAAAGACAACTTTCAAGCCAGAGCTGACGTCAGTGAGAGAATTAACCATACAAGTGTCTGGGGTAAGTGCAGTCAGGTAGAGGAACCAGCCATAAACAGTTATTGCTAGTTGATGCCATGAAACATAAACTCTCCTGAATAGCAAGGAAGCTTGTGGGTTGGAGTTGAGTTAAGGGATTAAAGCTAGAGACAAAGTCATAGAAGGAACAGATCATGAAATATACTGAGGGCATCTAAGCTATTGGAGACTTTTGAGCAGTAGACGACATAATCTGGCTTCCTTTTAAAAAGAGGATCTTACTGGCTGCTGTGGAGAATATATTGAAAGGGACAGGGTAGAAGAAAGACCAGTTTGGAGGCTTTTTTAGTAGACATGGTAGAGGAGACATGGTAGCTTGAGTAAGGGTGGTGAGAAATGGATGGTCAGGTTCTTAGTGCCCTTAATTTAGATGGATAAGAATATTGGTGGGTAGTAAGTTAATTTTCTCTAATTAGATTTGGGAAACACTTTGAAAATGAAATGTAGTGTGAGTTTTAACACAAGTTAAAATCAGAGCTTTGCCATTTAATATTTGAATGGATTTAGACAAGTCATACTTTCTGACTTTTTCTATAAAATGGAAATGTTATCTCACACGGTTGAAAAGCTTAAAGGGCTCCATATGTCATATGCTTGGCTCATTAAAATAGTGGTTGTTGTTATTAGCTGTGTTCTTGGATAGGAAATGGGAGTAAGATATTGCTGAGTGCTTCTTTGAATGTAAAGGGATGGTTAAACCCTACTGAAGAAATTCTGAATCAGGTAAAAGGTGACCTTGGTGTTTGCTAAGAAGGCCATGAGAGGCCTAGACATACCCTTTTTTTAAATTTTATGCATATTTCACTGGACAGGAAGATTTTCTGTGTCAATCGCCATAACACCTGAAATGTATGGACTGTCTTCTCGTAGCCATCCCTCAAGTCCCCCAAGACTCCTTGTGCCCTTATTAGTAAAGAGGAAGAAGGCACTCCAGTAAGTAAAGAAAAACAATCAAGAATAAAAACAAATTTCCAGTTTTAAAATGAGTAAGTCACGGAGATATAACATACAAAGCAGTGACTATGGTTAATTCTCTATTGAATATTTGAAAGTAGCTAGAAGAGTGGATCTTGAAGGTTCTCATTACACGAAAAAATTTTGGTAACTATGGTGAAGGACGTTAACTGGACTAATGTGATCATTTTGCAGTACACATAAGTATCGAATCACGTGCATCTAAAACTAATGTGTTAGTTATACCTCAAAAATTTAAATTTTTTTTAACGTTTATTTATTTTTGACAGAGAGAGAGAGAGAGAGAGAGAGACAGAGCATGAGCAGGGGAGGGGCAGAGAGAGAGGGAGACACAGAATCTGAAGCAGGCTCCAGGCTCTGAGCTGTCAGCACAGAGCCCGACGTGGGGCTTGAACTCACAGACCGTGAGATCATGACCTGAGCCGAAGTCAGACGCTCAACCGACTGAGCCACCCAGGTGCCCCTATACCTCAAAAATTAAAAAAAAAAAAAAAAAAAAAAATTAATGTTGATTTATATTTGAGAGAGACAGAGACAGATCACAAGCGGGGAGGGTCAGAGAGAGATGGAGACAGAATCGGAAACACACTCCATGCTCTGAGCTGTCAGCACAGAGTCCGATGCAGGGCTCGAACTCAGGAGTGGTGAGATCATGACCTGAGCCGAAGTTGGAGGCTTAACCGACTGAGCCAGCCAGGTGGCCCACCTCAAATTTTTTTAAATAAAAACAGTGACACAGCTCATGAATGCCCAAGTTAGAATTTGAATTCGTGCCCTGACCACATGCCAAATAAATAAACATTCACAAAAAGCATAGTTTTAGGTCTGTTTTCAATATTTTGGCAAAGGTTGCAAAAATACTCGTGGAATTACTGCCAGTTACCACTGCTATTGTAGTTTGAGTGTCTCTGGGAGGGATTGTTCTCAAAATATTTAATTTTATTATATACCTTTTTAAAAATTCTTACATTTGACAGGTTTTAAATCCTAGTACAGGTACTAACTTTGTTCTAAAAAGTATCCCTTATGTAGCACGGTAATAAAAATGTTCTTGTGGGGTGATTTGGCAGTTAGATTATGAAGCAAATGGAGGAATGAAGATTAGAAGGTTAGAATAAGAATGGTGGTAGAAAGGGAGAGAAAAAATTAATTAAAATCACTATAGTTTATTCTGATATACATGTTTTTCTCACATTTACATTTCACAATTATTGATGTCTTAAAGTCACTATGAACTAAGTGGCACTTGCAACATAGTTGTCAGTGCCTGTACTTAATGCAGACTTGGTCATTATGGTTAATATTGTCATCAGTTTGGTTACGTGTAGTGTTGGTATGTAGTTGTTGGCTTTAATCTCCATTTTAAGTATCCTTTATATGCAGATTTACCATTAAAATGAAAAGTCACTGTGTATACACAGATAAGCGGAAACAAAAGAGTGACATAAGATAAAAATAGGGCTAAATTTAAAAGAGATTTTTCAAATGATGCAGGGTGTGTGGTTTTTTTCTTAATGGTACATAAAATGCCAGAGCATCTTATGAATGGAGCCATTTTACAATTGGTGGCATCTTAGATTTTATGAAATACAGTACTTAGAGTGTTTAAGAAGAACATAAACTTTTACCTAGTTGAAGTTCTGAAACAGTGAAATCAGGTGTTTGGGAAGTAGAGAGACCCTTCCAAATTTTTGTAGAATTCCTATACTATAAAATAAAATTGAAAACTTGCACTTAAAATTTCCATTTCAAAGCAATAGCTTATTTGTTTATATTTGGTTCCTAACATTGAAAAGCCGGGGCAGGGAATTTGTTATTTAAAAGAAGTTACTGACAATTTAGAATCAGAGTGGGGAAAGACTACTGAGGTATAGGGAAGCCATTTGGCAATGATAGGAATCTCAGAAATAACCTTTTGTATATGTTTTAATGATTAAGATGTAGTTTAAATTCATGTATTTCCTAAAATCAGCAACAGCTTTAATGAATAGCAGCATCTTACAATGGCTTTTTATATTTAATGACCCATAATGAATATTATAAACAAAATTAAAGGCAAAATAATTTAGATAATACTTTTCAAATGCTTTTTGTTATAAAATAAATTCATTATTTTTTTAAATTAGTAAAGGAAGAAGAAAAGTCTATCTAAACTATCCAGAAACTTACTATCCAAACCCAGTTTACGTACTCATGTACTGTTTTCTCTTTTTTTCTATGTGTTTTGCATTTGTAATTACTATGCATGCAATTATTATGTGTATTTTAATCTCCTAATCATTAAATACAATTTAGTACAGATTAAGCCAGTATTCCCAAAATGTTTTAGAGGATATTAGTTCTATTATAGGTGCTCCTTGGTTAGGATTTTGTGGTTAAATACATTGGGAAACTCTACAGAATTATGTCTTTTATAGAAATTCGAGCTTCAATATTAAAAGAGCTAACTGCAGAATCAGACCGACCCTAAATTTTAATCCTGTTAGTAACTAGTCACATGACCTAAGGCAAACTAATTTTAATTCAAGTTTTCTTCTTTGTATAATGGAAGTAATTATAGAGTATTCATAGATGATCTATGTAAAGCATTTAGCCAGCCCATAATAAATACTCTAAAATGTTATCTGTTATTAACATTATTATTATTGGGTAACCTGAGTGGCTCAGTTGGTTAAACGTCTAACTCTTGATTTGGGCTAAGTAACCTATCATTATGTGATATATGTTGTAAATGTTGGGATATTATTAATTATTGCATAACCAAATAAAGCCTTTGTCATAAGTAATTAGGATGTAGAGTATTTTTAGGTTTTAAAGGTCATGCTAAGGTCATGGCATAGAGTCCTACATCTGGCTCCACACTGACAGTGGGGAGCCTGCTTGGAATCCTTTCTCTCTCCTCTCTCTGCTCCTGCCCCTGCTCACACTTGCTTTCTCCCAAAATAAGTAAATAAACTTAAAAAAAAATTATTATTAGCATTATCATCTGTGAGAAAAATCTAAGCCTATTAGCACATTAAAAGCTTTGAGGAGACAAAGGAAGCTTAAAGTTATGAAATTCAGTAGGTACTCCATGTAAAATACTGTGTAAAATTGAAAGTCACTGTGGAGCATTTGGCACATGATAATGAAATGAGCACTGGGTTGAATGGTACAAGATTTGTCCAAGCTTTAAGCAGTGTTTTTATTAAACTAGCACTGTTGCCCTAAACTTAACCTCATTTAAATTTTTTTTCTAATTTACTGTGTTTTCCCTCATTTTTTTGAAAGCTTAGTGAATACAAAGAATATGTTTAATTTTGCTCTCTACTATAAACCCAGCACATGACTCAAAATCAGGAAATATAAGTAAAATTGGGGTCATGAACGTAAGTTATTTATAGGGACCTGGCAGGTGGCATAAGTGGCAGACAGCAGGGAGTTGTTCAGTCTGTTTTGCCTTGCTTAAACCTTCAGCTGTTTCAAACATTAACCCTGGAACACAAAGGGATCCCTGCTTTGTGTGGTGGTAATAGTTTGCAATCCTTAGAAGAGACTAGAAATCAGGACCAAACCCTGAAAAACATAAAAGGAACAAGTCAAGAAAAAGGATCCCTAAAAGGAGGTGCCAAGGAATAGAAAGTGAAATCAGGTGAAATTATCCTCATTATAAATTTAAAAAATGAAACAGAGAAGTTAAGTAACTTGACCAAGATCACACAGGCTGTTAAGTATGTGATTCAACCAAGATTAGTTAGCTATAAATACTGTAAGGGAAAAAAAAGACAACTACTTTTCTGCTGGTGCGAGTGATCAATATCTACATATTACTATAAAATATGGACATAAATTTATGCATCATACTTATATTTTTGAAAAGTTTAAAGTTAATTAACAAGTACTAGAAAACCTATTCCCAGAGCTTCTAATTCAAAAACAATACATAGCTCTTAGCATTTGAGGAAGATTTTGTTCAACATATAGACTTGTCTTTCTAACTAATCCAGAATATCTCAAAGGACAGGTTAATTTTCACATCATGAGTAATATTGCCAAGATAACCTAGGAGTAAAGAAAAAATAGATGCTGGTTAAAACAGCTAGTGTGTTTTATAGTCGCTCCTAAGTTTTATTTTGTCAAGAAAACTTGATTATTGCTGGAAACATGACTGTGCTAGCAAAAGATACTTTCTCTCTTAATGAGACTTCCTTTGTAATGATGTTATTGATATTTGTGGCAGTTAAAATAGTTACAAGTAACCTATCATTATGTGATATATGTTGTAAATGTTGGGATATTATTAATTATTGCATAACCAAATAAAGCCTTTGTCATAAGTAATTAGGATGTATTTTCAGGTTTTAAATTCATGCATTCTTAAGTGTGCTGTTCAGTGAATTTTCTTAAGACTATTTTTTAGAGCAGTTTTAGGTTCATAGCAAAATTGTGAGTAGAAAGTATTTAGTGAATTTTTATTCCTTTTTTCTTTTCCTTAAACCAAAACAATTTACATAATTTTCATAAGAATTTTTCTCTTGGTATTCTTGGCCATTTGTGTGCCTTTGGCAAAATGGCATGTATGGCTTGTGTCGGACTGCTTTGCCTTTTGAGCTAGAGTTGAGAACCATTAATACTAGTTTCTTAGAAGACTTTCACAAGGTGTTCAAACTGAAATCTATAAGCCATTCAGTATTCCTTTTTTGTGCACCATTTGTTTAAATAATCTTAAATCTAGTTTTAGAGTTTCTGTAATTACAATGGCAATATCTGTTTGTAGGGGAAAGTGCAAAGATTTCAGTTGGCTGTTGTCTTGTATTCCTGAGGACAGGAGTCTCTAGGTATATTTTATATACTATTATAAACAAAATTCACAATTAATGTAAATAAATTAATATTTATTGCCCCCATAGACTGTATACCACCACTCACAAAGAAATTAAGGTATGGCTTAGCCAAATTATCTAAATGTATTTTTAATATCAATCTATAATTTGTATTTTTATTATTTGTTATGTTCTTAACCTTTAAGAAAACAAAAATCATTTACCTAAAGATCTACAAAATATCATGCTCATCGGTAGCCTACACTATTGGGAGCTTCTTGAAGGTGAGGTTTGTACATATATCCTATCTTTTTTTGTGTGACCAGAATTTTGCTCAGTGCCTGACATTTTTTACCACTTGCCAGAAATATTGAATATTATTCATGGTATCTTATTTTGCCACATATCAATGCTATGAGATACATAAAATTATCTCCATTTTACAAATGAGAAAACTTTTGGCTCAGAGAGGTTAGGTAGGTTGATTCGGAGGCAAAGGGTAGGATTTGATCCAAGGTCTTGTGATTTGCAAATCCATGTTCCTGTTATTAAATTACTTTTATTTCATACTCTTGTAAAAAGTTCTTAATATTGTAAACAAGGAGAAGGAATAATAATAATATGTATCTCATGGTGTTGTGATAATTAAGTTAATATTGTGAGGTGCTGAGAAAAAGACCTGGCAGTTACTAAAGACAAAGTAAGCACTAGATATTATTACTCAACAATACCTATCAGGAAATTTGAGATGGCTTCTGTCATCCATAGTTACTTTATATACGAGTGGTTTATTAGGATCACTGTCATCTCTCTGTTCTCAACATTTTAAGACTTCATGTCCTATATATGTCTTTTCAGTAACATTTCTCTTTGTTACTAACATGTTTTCTCTTTATTTTTCATATTTTATTTGTACAATTATTTGATTAAAAATGAATCCATTTACAGGGCACCTGGGTGGCTCGGTTGAGCATCCGACTTCAGCCCAGGTCATGATCTTGTGGTTCATGAGTTCCAGCCCTGCTTCGGGCTCTGTGCTGACAGCTCAGAGCCTAGAGCCTACCTCGCTCAGTTCTTGTGTCTACCTCTCTCTCTCTCTCTCTCTCTCTCTGCCCCTCCCCAGCTCGTGTTCTGTCTCTGTCTCTCTCTCAAAAATAAAAAACATTAACAAAAAAAACCAAAAACCTAAAAATGAATCCATTTTTACTGAATATTTCAAGTGATGTCTCAGTCCTAGTTTTATTTCATGATTTAAAGTTAGACCTTAATCTAAAGTTATAATAGTAAAGTTATAGCCAAGTATATAAATTATGCTTTTATAATTTATGTAATAAATACATAAAACATTGATATATATATATATATTTTATCAGTATCATTCAAAGTGTTACCACTTCTTTTTATCCCATTGTTTTCTCTAGTGGTTTTATATATATATTTAGTATATTCAGCTCATTTGTATTTATGTTTTTAAGCATTCTTTCTTACTAAAGTTACGCTGGTGCTTCAGTATGTATTACAAAAGTGATATTTTATTTAACTCATTTTTATAACGATTTTGTAGATAGTTAATAGATTTATCAACTCAGTAAAATATCTTTTTTCTCTCTTTGGTGGGATTTATGATCTCTATTTTGCAAATTATTGTTAGTTTTGAAACTTTTTCTGTGAGTCAGGACAGGAGTTTCATGTTTGGCTGGTATTTGTGAGATAACTTCTGTACCAGTAGACAAATTCATGACAACTATTTTATACTTACAGTTATTTCTTATGAGTTAAGATATTCATTTACTGGGGATTTTTCTAAGGCATATCACTAATGTCACATTTATTTTGGTATTAACTCATCAATTTTTTTTTTTTTTTGCTACAAAAGTAAAAGTTAACAAATTATGCTAAATCAAATACTCATTATTTTTATTGGGCTAGCTATTTCACCTATTGAATATATTTGATTATTATGTTAGACTAAAGTAAACATTAAACTGAAAGAATGCTAATAGGAGGATGCTAAAAGTCCAAAAGAACAAGCTGTTTTTACCTTAACTTTCTTCATATGTTCATATGTATTTTTCTCTAAAATTCTAAAAAGAAAAAAAACATTTGAGGAGCAACGGGGTATTCTGTGTTTATGTTGGTAAAAATTGGCTGAATTAAAAAGTTAATATCTTCATTTTCAATTTTTGTACCAAAATGCTCTGTATTTTTTAAATTGTTAAATAATAGTCCGTATAGAAAATGAGAGGTTTATTATGACTTTCTCAGATTAACCACATTTGTATTTTCTTCATTTATTAGCAACTTTATTTTTATCAGTTTTTTTTAGTCATTCTATTTATAAATTGTTAACTTTAGTGTAAAAGTTTTTTGAGGACTGTTTCTCTTTTAATAAAAAGGTAAAGATTTCAGAATGTCCTTTTTATAGGATGGATATTGCATAATTTGAAATTTTCAAACATCTTACATTATTTGTCCTTTATTAGCCAATTTTTTCCTTTATCAAAAAATTTCACCATTTTATTGTGTATCGCTTATTTAAAATCAGAATTACTTCAGCAGCGCTTGTGTCATTGTTATGTTTTGTATTATAAATTAAAGTTAATCAGGTAAAAAAGAGCAATTTGTAGTATTAATGATTTATCTTGTCTTTTGTTAGTGTGACTGTTTTAATATTTGGCAGTTTAAACTTTAACGTTATGAGTTAATCTCAGAATGCTTGCATATACACATTTTTCTGAACACTGACAGGATGTTTTCTAATTTCTGTAAATTATCATGAAATTAAAATTCTAATTATTTTCTTTAATAAGAGTCACAGTATATATGCTGACATTATTTCCGAGTAGGCATGTCTTTAATATTGATATGTTCCTAATTGTTGATCTTTTTCTTTTGTCTTTCCTAAGTCACATATTCCTCCTTACATTTGTACATAGTTAAATAAGCGGTAGAAATATCCAGTATCTAAAAGTAGCATATAAAAAGGGAATTCAGCAATTCTTAGCTTTGGAACACAGGAGTGGCACTCAGTTACAGCTTGGTTAAGGTTATTGTTATTCTTTTCCCTTAGTCTTCCTGTTTTGTGTTATAATACTCTGCTGTATTTTAAAAGTTTCTTTAAAATTTTCAGCCTAAAATGTGAAATAGCATGTTTTTTGCATTTAGGGAAAGAAAATTGATTCCCTCTTCCAAACATATTGAGGAGTTAGTCATTTAACGTTTCTGCCATTTATTCGGTTTGTTGCTCTGGAGGAAAAGTATAGGAAATGTAGTTTTCTAGTATATTGATCTGTTAAAGTGGAAGATGTTTTTCCTTTCAAACTGCTTGCTTAGTGTTCTGTACAATAAATTTTATTCCTTCTGTGGTATAACTTATCACTTATTTTTTCACTTAGGATTTTCTGCCGTATCTTTAAAAAAATGGCAACTAATGGTGCTGTTCTGAAGAGACTGGAACAGAAGGGTGCAGAAGCAGATCAAATTATTGAATATTTAAAGCAGCAAGTTGCTCTTCTTAAGGAGAAAGCAAGTAAGAGATTTTACATTTTCTGAGGAGATACTTAAAAGGAATTCACATATTGACAGCACAAAAACTGTGTTTACCCCATAAATATTATTTCATCATCTTGATGATAACTTAGATTCCTTTAACATTTTAATTTTGAGTAAAATATTTTGGGATTAAGATAAATTAAAATTCATATGTAATGAATGTAATATAAGGAAAACAGTGTATTATTTTAAGAGTGCTAAAGGAAAATTCATGTTTAAAATAAGTTGATATAGAATTGGAGAGTAAAATGAAGAAAATTGGGTAAAATCAAATATGAACTCAGATATCTCCTGTGAAAATATATACTCATATTACCCTCTACTGAGGCATCTTCTGAAATGATTTTTACATTTTTCCAATATGTCTTTAAATTTTACCAAGAAATTGCTATGATAAGTACAAAAATATCAAATCTGAATTTCTCCTTTTAGGATTTAGGTTGAATTTTGTTAAGTATATTTTATTTCTCAATAGTCCATGTTAATGGTGTGACGAAAATTCCTAAGTCTTTTACCATAACTAAAGAAATGCTTTTCTTTGCTGTATAAGATTGTGAATGGCTTACAGAATTGTACATTTACTCTTCAGGATATTTTTTCTTTATTTTAAAATACTGCTTTAATTATGTCTTTTTTATAATGTTTTATAAACTTTCTTATTTTTCTTAAAATTCTTAAAGGATTTTTCTTGTTATTTTTCTTAAAGTTTTTAATATTTCTTTCCATTAGTAAGATAAACAGATTAGAGATGATCTCTAATCTCTTCTGTGAATTTTTTCTCATATGGGTGCCTGTTAACAACTTGACTAACGTTTTAATTTTGCTAGTTAAAAGAAAAAGGAACCTTTCTACCCTTAGTGCGTGTTTATTCTTCACCTTTATCATTTTTACTTTTTGTAGCCTATCCTGATGCTTCCCAGTCCAATTGTTCCTGTTTTGCAATAAATATTTCATAAAATCTCTTAATGTTTTGTAAATAAAATATTTTTTAGATAAAATAACCTACCTATACACATAATTTCAAACCATACATTAATCATGTATATAATACACAGGAAAATTAAAAAAGAAAGTAATTTATAAATGGTAGTAATAATAAAAATACGTATTTTAGTAAGTAAGTTCTTAGGTGGACGGTATTACCAGACATATGAGAAAGTCATATGCTATATGATTCACATACATAGAATCACCAAGAATGCAACAGATATAATGCTAATTGATATGAGTGTTTATTTAGTCTGCCTTTATGTTAGCAACTCCGATAGCAGAAGCAGCTTTCAGTTATGTTTTTGATTTACTCAGAATGATGAATAATTCTTCGGGTAAGGCTGTGAACAAAGCAAAGAATAGTTTATTCTTGATTTATATGATACTTGATTTATAAAAAATTCAGGGTGTGATGAAAATGTTTAATAATATTTTGTGTTTATATATAAAACATAGGATCTAGACTCAAATGATTAACAGGATTTTCACCTACACAGATGTACAATCGGTCAGTGGAAAATTCTGCAGAATGTGAAACAGCTCTTCATTTTATGAGTGTATCTAGCATGTTTCGGGACATTTGGCATCCCTGACTTCTGCCCAATAAATGCCCCAAAATACTCCCACAGATTTTAAGAATCCTACCTCGGAGCAGCCCTAACCCCCCTGAGAATCATTGGTTTTTGTTTGTTTGTTTTGTTTTGTTTTTATTCTTTTGTATATCCTGTTGCTCACCTTTAACGCACGTATTATATGTTGAGCAAATCTTTGAAGCTATTTCACTCACTAAATATTTGGCAGGCCAGCTCAACCTCTGAGAAATTAGGAAAAAAAGAATAACAGATTGTACTTTTACAAGGTAATGATTAAAAAGAAAGAAGTGAGAATAGTTTTTTTATGGTTTGCTATCATTAGATCTCCAGCTTAAAGAAATAATAATGTATCTTAATATTTGTCTCATTTTGATAGTTTATGTATTATTGATTTGTCATTAGCATCATTATGGAAGCTAGAAAAACGATTCATAAACAAAACTTAAAAAAATTTATTTTTAAATTTTTATTCAGTTTTTGAGAGTGAGAGAGTGAGCATAAGCAGGGTAGGGGGTATCAGAGAAAGGGAGACACAGATTCTGAAGCAGGCTGCAGGCTCTGAGCTGTCAGCACAGAGCTGGACGTGGGGTTTGAACTCATGAACTGTGAGATCATGACATCAGCCAAAGTTGGATGTTCAACTGACAGCCACCCAGGTGCCCCATAAACAAAACTTTTCTGTTCTGTTATTATTTCACAGATTTTTTACCATTTTTGTAGTTTAATAAATTCTAAACTGATATAAAGGAATAGACAAATATTTGTTTACTGATATTATCTTAGTTGTGTTTATACTGCTATGCTCTTTTCAAATAGTATTCATAAGAAATCTTTTAGAAAACATGGCTATATCTTTACTGGATTTTCTTGATCCTAGTTTTGCAGGCAACTTTGAGAGAAGAAAAGAAACTTCGAGTTGAAAATGCTAAATTAAAGAAAGAAATTGAAGAATTGAAACAAGAGCTAATTCAGGCAGAAATTCAAAACGGAGGTGATTAAATATTGAAATAATAGGTTGTTTTGATTTATAATAGTAATTATATCATTGTTTATTAAGTTAGGTATTATGCTAGATTTCTCATTTTATCCCCACAGTAGCCCTTCTTATGCAATTGTTCCCCTTACAAAAGAGAAAATGGAGATTTAGGAAAGGCAAATGATCTTGTTTGAGCTCATGCAAAAAGTGGCAGAGCTGGGTTTCAAAAACCTATGCTTTTAGTGACGTTGAGCATCTTTTTCATGTATTTGTTGGCATCTGTATGTCTTTGGAAAAATGTCTCTTCAGGTACTATGCCTATTATTAAGTGGATTATTATTATTGGTGTTGAATTATTATTAATTATTTTTGGTGTTGAATTATAGTTCTTCATATAATTTGGATATTAACCCCTGATCAGATATATCATTCGCAAGTGTCTTCCCTCATTCAGTTAATTGCCTTTTTGTTTTGTGGATGGTTTCTTTCACTGTGCAAAAGGCTTTATTCTGGTGTAGTCTTAGTAGTTTAGTTTTGTTTTTGTTTCTCTTGCTTCAGTTTAGAAAATGTTTAGAAAATGTTGCTGTGGCTGAAGTCAAGAGAAATTATTGCCTATCTTTTCTTCTAGGAACTTTCAGATCTCACATTTAGGTCTTTAATCCATTTTGAGTTTATTTTTGTGTATTCTGTAAGAAAGTGCTCCAGTTTCATTCTTTTGCATATAGCTGTTCAGTTTTCCTAACACCATTTGTTGAAGAGACTGTCTTTTTTCCATTGTATATTCTTACCTCATCAGGGAAAACATAGTGTACATGTGAAAGTAATGTAGCACACTGTATGTTAATTATACTTAAATTAAAAAAAAAGAAACTTTGGTTAAAAAAATTTTTTTATGTTTATTTATTTTTGAGAGAGAGGGAGAGACAGGGTGTGAGCAGAGGAGGGGCAGAAAGAGAGGCAGACACAGAATCCGAAGCAGGCTCCAGGCTCTGAGCTGTCAGCACAGAGTCCAACGTGGGGCTCAAACTCACAAACCGCAAGATCATGACCTGAGCTGAAGTCAGACGCTCTGCTGACTGAGCCACCCAGGGGCCCCTTTTTTTAAAAAAATTTTTTTATCTTTATTTTTGAAAAAACAAACAAACAAACTATGCTTTTAATCTCTGTGCTATATGCTTCAACTAGATCATCACTGTTCCCTATTATTGAAAATAAGCCATATTAATATTTAGCTGACATTTATTAAGTTTTACTATATGCCAGGCAGGTGTGCCAAGTGCTTCATGTATATTATATATTTTATCCTTAAAATTGTGTACACAAATGTCCTTGTTTTATACATGAGGAAACTAAAGCTGACAGCTATAAAGTAATTTGCTTGAAATCATAAAGTTTTTATAAATATTTATTTTATAATATTTATATATATATATTTTATATATTTATATATTTTATATATAATATATATATTTTATATATTTATATATTTTATATATATACTATATATAACATAATATATTATATAATATATATTTATATAATATATAATATATTATATAATTATATTATATATATTATATGTATTGTATATATAAAATATATTATATATGTTATATAATATATAGAAAATAATATAATATATATTAATATAATATAATAAAATAATATTTATTTCATATATATTTATATATTTTATATATATAATATATATATTTTATATTTTTATATATTTTATATATATTATATATATAAAATAAAATAATAAAAAAATTATTTTGAGGGAGAAAGAGAGAGAGTGCATGCGTGTTGGCAAGGAGGGAAGGGCAGAGAGAGAATCCCAAGCAGGCTCCACGCTCAGTTCAGAGTCTGATGCAGGGCTCAATCTCAATCGTGAGATTTTGACCTGAGCCAAAATCGAGAGTCTGTCGCTTAACCAACTGAGCTACCCAGGCACTCCTGAAATCATATAATTTTTAGGTTATTCAACTCAGCAGATAATTATCATTTCAATTATGTTATAAATAAAAATTTAAATTTTACTGAATTATTTTAAAGGTGTCTAGGGGCGCCTGGGTGGCGCAGTCGGTTGAGCGTCCGACTTCAGCCAGGTCACAATCTCGCGGTCCGTGAGTTCGGGCCCCGCGTCGGGCTCTGGGCTGATGGCTTGGAGCCTGGAGCCTGTTTCCGATTCTGTGTCTCCCTCTCTCTCTGCCCCTCCCCCGTTCATGCTCTGTCTCTCTCTGTCCCAAAAGTGAATAAACATTGGAAAAAAAAAAAAATTAAAAAAAAAAAAATAAAGGTGTCTAGACAAATTTATATTATAGAACAATAATAACAATAGCTCTGTTACAATATTAAAGTACCACACAGAGAGACGCATTTGATTATATTATAGAAAACCTTTATTTATTTATTTATTTATTTATTTTTGAATATATGAAATTTATTGTCAAATTGGTTTCCATACAACACCCAGTGCTCATCCCAAAAGGTGCCCTCCTCAGTACCCATCCCCCCCCCTCCCCTCCCTCCCCCCCCCCCCCGCATCAACCCTCAGTTTGTTCTCAGTTTTTAACAGTCTCTTATGCTTTGGCTCTCTCCCACTCTAAACTCTTTTTTTTTTTTCCTTCCCCTCCCCCATGGGTTTCTGTTAAGTTTCTCAGGATCCACATAAGAGTGAAACCATATGGTATCTGTCTTTCTCTGTATGGCTTATTTCACTTAGCATCACACTCTCCAGTTCCATCCGCGTTGCTACAAAAGGCCAGATTTCATTTTTTCTCATTGCCACGTAGTATTCCATTGTGTATATAAACCACAATTTCTTTATCCATTCATCAGTTGATGGACATTTAGGCTCTTTCCATAATTTGGCTATTGTTGAGAGTGCTGCTATAAACATTGGGGTACAAGTGCCCCTATGCATCAGTACTCCTGTATCCCTTGGGTCAATTCCTAGCAGTGCTATTGCTGGGTCATAGGGTAGGTCTATTTTTAATTTTCTGAGGAACCTCCACACTATTTCCAGAGCGGCTGCACCAATTTGCATTCCCACCAACAGTGCAAGAGGGTTCCTGTTTCTACACATCCTCTCCAGCATCTGTAGTCTCCTGATTTGTTCATTTTGGCCACTCTGACTGGTGTGAGGTGATACCTGAGTGTGTTTTTTTTTTTTAATTTTTTTTTCAACGTTTTTATTTATTTTTGGGACAGAGAGAGACAGAGCATGAACAGGGGAGG